TCCCTCCCTCCCACTCTGTCCCTCTTTCTGTTTGTCTACCTCTGATTTAGTCTCAGCACAGTCCCTCACCACGTCAAACTGCATATAACTCTTACACTTCCTGCTCTGAGCTCCTCATTACAGTGTAACCAGCATAACTTAGATGGGTCAAAGTCCACAACTATTCTCTTAATCAGGCTCCACCTTAAAAACTGGGTTAAAGCAGCTTTTTTTTGCAGAGAGCTGCATGTTAAACACAGTTAAGACTTTACAGCTTGTTTGTTCTTTGCCTTGTTACGTGTGTTTGGCAAAGATCCCTCCTTTCGCAGTTCTTGGTAAACTGTGCCTTGATAAACAAGTTTATCACCTTGGCTCAGAAGACTCCACATACCTTTGTACTGCGGTTCAGTGGGAGAGGACAATGACACACAGCTCACACAGCAGCAGCTCGACTGGTTTGACCACATAATGTTGAACTACATACAGTCCCCTTGTCAGATTATCATTCTCTAGAAATATATTCAGAACCAGAGTGAAAAACAACAATTGCCCATTGTGTACTTTGTAAATCGACATGATTATACATTTACAATGCAATATTTCAGACCGAAACATTTCAGCACACATTTAACTGATCACTGTAGTTAGTAGTTATATTGAGACATGCTCTTTTGCCTTTGGTAAACTACCTTTAATTAAACAATAAGTGAAGCAGAACTGGCACCATGTATTTGAACCAGCACTGCTACATAGTGTTCGTTCAATGCATCAGAGTAAACACCAGTATTCTTATATATCTAATATTCTTCAGGTTCCCTCCTGTTAAGACAAACAGGTACAAGCACTCGTTTATTCCTTCAGCCATGTCTATCCTTAATTCAGGCCAGAGGGGAGGTAACTAGCCCCTACCTAGCTGTGGAAGAGTTACATGTCGCACTTTATATTCAGTGTATTTATACTCTCATGTTTCTATTTATTGTTCTTGCTTTTTGATCTAGTGCTCACTGTTTTTTGGGAATGTGCTATTTATGTCTATATATGTACTGTATCCATTTGTTTTAGTCTTTGCTGCGAAATCAATTGCCCCCTGGGGACATAAATAAAGTTGAAGAAGTTATATTTTATTTTCATAAAGTACTGAATGCAAGACTTTTTATTTTTATTGTCATGTTTCTAATATTGTCACATTGCCAGCAAAGGGTTTGAAAAGCCAAATCTTCCCACAGCTATGCAGCTGTGCATCTACTGGGGCTGACATTCCTGGATGTGTAGCAAGAACATGTGCCAACCAGCTATTTGTTGTCATTAGGGAAATTTTTTAACACATCACTGTCACAGGAGAGTGTTCTCACATACTTAAAAGACAACCCTGTACCTACAGAGGTCTACAGCGTCTAGTCCAAGCAAGTACTGTCCTGTGGTTCTCAGCCCCATTCTGATGAAGTACTTTGAGAAACTTGTTTTCCAGCACACCTGCAACAACATCCCAACCAGCCTGGACCCTCAGTAAAAAAAGATCCACAAAGGACGCCATCTCCACTGGCCTCCACTCAGCCCTCACATCTTGAAAATAAAAACAGAATTTTGATTTTTGTATTTCAGCTCAGCATTCAAAACACTCTCCCACATGAAATTGATTGGCCAACTTAGCACTCTGGGCTTGAGTGGCCTACACTGGATATTGGATTCCCTTGCAAACAGACTTCAACCAGTTTGGATTGGTGGTAATATGCCCTCCGTGTTGAACACCGGAGCCCCACAGGGCTGTGTGATCAGCCCCCTCCTGTTCATGCTGTACACCCTGGACAGCAACCCCTGACCTGAAGCGAACTGTGATTTACAGTTTGTGCACGACACCACCAAAACGGTAAATTAAAAGCAACAGTAAGACTTCATATTGGTAGGGAATCAAATAATTTTGAAGGCAAGCACGGATTATCCACTAGGACTGCACGATATACGAAAAAAAGTTGCAATTTGATCACTGGACCATTTTAGGGCGGTGCTCTAGGGCCCCCTCCTGTTCAGGCTGTACACCCTAGACTGCAACCCCTGACATAAAGAGAACTCTGTTTTGCAGTTTGCATATGATACCTCAGATGAATTAAAAAATAACAAAAAGGGAGGAAATTTAGGAAGCAAGCACGTATTATCCACTAGGACTGCACAATATGTAAAATAAATAAATAAATAAATAAATAAATAAAAATCTCTGTTGCAATATGAGTCATGATTTTAATGGGAATGGTAAACTTTGAATTTCTGTGTTGTTGAAAAAATACATAAATAATGATGGGGTCGGTATAACAAGTATGTTCCCTTACATCTGGAATATGATTTGTAGGCCGGGGCATCTCTGTAGCCCATTTATAATAACATGTTGTGACACATTTTACCTTCATCAAAACAATTGCAGCTCCTGGGATTTGGATAGTGCACTTGGCTTTATTACAATTTCAATAATTTGATTGATTATGCAGGCCTATTATTCACGGACCCTGTGGGGCAGTGCCCTGGGGCCTCAAACCTCAAGGGGCTCCCAAATCCTCACCAACTGTGGCCTCACCCTGTCTACTGCTTCTTCTTCTTCTTCTTCTTTTAAACTCAGTTTAAATTAATTTTTGTTAAAATACGAATCAGTGGATGCAGAATTACTTTATTAACAAAAAAGGAAAAGATATTTAAATATAAAATAAAAAATATTATGATTGGTCCGCTGGCTGTGTGTGTCATGATGACGGCGATGAGTCAAGTGACCGTGGGAACTCAGAAGGCGGAAACGGTGGGAAAGTTTGTTATAAGTAAACAAATATGGATTAAAAGGTGGCACAGTGGAGCATCAAAAACAAAATGCTTGAAAAGAAAAGGACAGCAGAGACATTGTTCTTCGGAAAAATATACAAACTATCCCGACTGTTTTTAAGAGTCGGCTCGCGAGTGAAGAACGTAGCTAGGACCATGCTAGTGTTGCTAGCTAAGAGGAGGACAGTAGCCGTTACCAGGCAACAGCCATTAGTTCAGCTGTCCCACCTCGACTTGAACCGGACCAGCAGCTTCCAAGAGGACCTGAGCATCAGCATGACACTGAAGCAGAGAACCACAGCGTCTGCGGGTAGGATACCAGTTTTAGCAGCCACACAATTTATCTGTTAACGTTACATCTTACCTCTATATTTCAGTCATAGGCTACTTTTTTGCTAACCATTCAAGTGGTGTAAAAAGAGCTGTTTGCTCTCTGTCTGTCCTGTCACATCTGTCCTCTCAATGCTTTAAAGACTTGAAAGCATCTAATAAGCTCTGCCTGTTTGTTTATATCCTGTATACGCCTTAAACGCTGAGTAAATCCATAGAAGATTGAAATAACTTACTGGTTGAGCAGTTCTGTCATAGTAATTATATTGTGTGTGTGTGTGTGTGTGTGATTGATGGTAATATGTGAATCATAGATATAGGGCTGGGCAATATGAAGAAAATCAAACATCATGCTAGTTTTTAAACAGAAATACTTAAGGGTGTACCTTGCCTCTCACCCAATATTGGCAAGGACAGGCTCCAGCCCCCCTCCGTGACTCCTAACAGGATAAATAGCTATGGAAAATGAATGAATGAATAAATATATATTGACCTTCTCTACATAGAACTGTATTGGTGGAGTTGGAGCAGAGTGTGCTTGTGTATGCCATGGAGCTACACGTTGTAGGCTAACGAGTTAATATTGTGGCCACTGGGCCAACAAAATATTGTTGCAATCATGTGGTGTAAATTCAGTGTGATAGAAGATATCTACAGACGTTGATATTGTCCTTCAGGCTGTGCTCAAAGGCTGTAGCTGTAAGTGTAAATTCTGTATAAGCCATGTGTTTGCAACAGATAGTAGCCTCCGCTAATAACTTATAACCGTAAGGTTTGACTACAGCAGGGGTGTCCAAACTCTTTTGAATGTTGGCCAAATTAGATAATGTGAAAATACCTCAGGCCCAGCTCCTTCTTGCATCATATGGGTTTTTAAAAAAAGAAAATGGTAGCATGTCTGCTGTTAGCTAACCATTAGTTTGCTTCTTTACCATCTGTTTATGAAAACACATTACTTTTGCTTGCTTATAGATCCTACATAGTACATGTCTACAAACTGTATGACAGTCCTGCCATCCTAGGGTAAATGAAAAAAATGCAAAGTCATCTTGTTTGATTAGGCCTAACTAATGATGTGTGGTGCCCCACATATAGTATATTGTGAAAGACAAACCATGGGCCATTTAAATTCGGTCAGCAGGCACTGGACTTTGGACATGCCTGTACTACAGGATTGAGTGTGTGTGGAAGGGCTTCAACATTTTGTGGCCCAGGGGCCTCTGCTTTCTTTAATTTGTGCCTGCTTGCAGGTAGTTCACCTAGAACAATCAACTGATCAACATCAGCAAAACCAGAGAGCTGATTGTTGATTTTTACATAAAAGGAGACAAAGACACTTCCCCCAGTTTGCATCATTGCAGCAAGTGAACAGTTGTAGGGTCCTGGGAATCAGCATCATACAGGGAACCTTACGTGGTCATCACACATCTTGGTCTTGGTTAAGAAAGCTCAGAAATAGCTATATTTTTAAGCAAAACTTGAGAGGGCTAAATTCCTATTACAAGTTCTTGTCAGCTTTGACAGAGGAGCAATAAAAAGCATCCTGACTGGAAACACAAAATTTGGCATGAGATGTGCAGTGAGTGATTACGACCACCCAGAACGTCTCTAGTACACAGCATCAGTGATATTAGTAAGGTACCTGCGTAGTCTAAAAGGTATTAAAGGATAGCCCCGTCACCCTGCTGCCATCTGGCAAACAATAGAAGCATCCACTGCAGTGTCCCTTCACTACAAAGCAGCTACTTTCCTCACAACACGTCCTCCATACTCCACCATAAAAAATGTTTTGTTTACTTGAAATCTTGCAATCCTGTATTGCGCAATGTCAATGAACCTTGAGACTATTATTACCAACTCTCTATATTCAGGCAAGTTAACACAAGACAGAGTTCTGGGATACTATTTAATTGTTAATGTCAGTAACAAGTGGAAAGTATTTTTCCACAGAACATCAGCATTTGCCTTATTTTTCCTTTAAATGAAATCTTTCCAAGTGATTCATCATATTTCCCAGTTAAAGTTGTGCAACAGTGAAATCATCGAGGCGTCTCTGCAGGGCAGACTCAGCAGGCATGAGCCAGCAGTCCAGTGTCGGGTGAGAGTCGATACTGTAGTCAACAGCATTGGACCTACAAAGGAAAGACATAAATAGTCATGCATCTTTGTATAATACAAGTAGATTAGCTCTCTAAGACAGCTTTATTTTTTAGACCAACTGATATGTACCTGGTAACGTCAGTCTCCTGGTCTTTGATCTTAAGTTTTGTTGAAGGAGTTTGTTGCACCTCTTCATACACTGCGGGCTTCAGAGCTGGACACACAGTGGACAAACAATAAAGCAATGACACTGAACAGCTGGCACTTAAATAGACACAGCACTTTTGTTTCTTTTAATTAATTGTTTTTCCATCAATCACTACAGTGCAAACAATGATTGAATATATTGTTAAATCATACAAACAAACTCAGCCTTTTCACCCACCTAAAATTCCTTCAGTGTTGTTGTCCGATGGCTGCTGTCTTAAAACTGGCCAGAGGAATTTTGTACCATCCTTCACATGGATTAAGATGACTATTCGTGTGTCTCCAGCTGTAACATCTATTTCCTTGTCCTGCCTAATCACTGTCAAACTAGAAAAATATGCACCTTGTCTTAATTTTCATTAAAGGACTTAAAAGACCAACTGTACATATCATTTCACTTATCTTGGCTGATTACACCCATGCTCAGGATAAAGAGGTACAAAGCAATGCCGAGCATTATGTGAGGTCACCAGTATCAATGCATCATTACGAATGATGATGGTATAATATGTCCCAACCTGCAGGTGCCAGAAAACACACTCCTGAGAAGAGGTCTCATTAACCAGATAGAAATTACCTGTGTGGGTGTACGTGGGTTTGCAGAGCCATAGGTATCAGCTGCAAATAACAATTTATATTTGTGTATATTAGTGAATTAAAGACAGATTATTATTATCAGTGGCCAGTAGCATAACATAAAGAGTGGAAATGGGAGAACAGCTAACAGAGCTCTGTTTAAGGGCTCTACACACCCCACACCAAGCTGACAATCGGCCGTTGGTCAATGCCAGGCCATTGGTGAGTGTGCGTCGCACTAGTTTTTGCGGTGTGCCCTACACTGGCCAGGCCTAGGCTGCTTTTTTTCTGGCCAATTCAGTATGTTGAATCAGCGTCATAGTAAGGGAAACCATTGGTTAATGAAATCACTGACTGGCAGTTCAGCTCAGTGCACCAGAAGAGAAACTGAAATGAGGAAAGCAAACAAACAGCTAAAGTCAAGAGGGCATGGGGTCAAAATAAACTTTTAATATAACAGAAGATTATTTTCTTCAGCCACTGAGCTCTTAAGCAGAAATGGTTTGTAATTGTGGTATTGTTTGCTAGCGTACGATCAATATCTTGTGTTTATTCAACATCTGGTTGTGTTGTTAATGTGCTAATTGGCTAACTAGTGTCTTGAATCCGTCCTGTCTGTCCATGATGTATACTAGCCACCGCTGCCTTATTATTATTGTTATTGAGAGTTATCTCCTCTCACACAGGCACAGAACATATGTGCTAGTTGGCCATTGGCTGTAGTCTAGTCTGTTGCGACATGAGGCAACTCATCTGTCGGCCTTGGTCACCACTACATCCTTGATGTGGGTCTGGTGTGACAGGCTTTAAGGGTCAGGAAACCTGCCTACCAGCATCTCTAAAGCTCACGTTGTATCTCACATGTTTAATTTGTGCTAATATTTTGGGTAAAAAACAACATCCAAATCCTGACTGTTTCTTAGTCAGGACCATCACAATGCAAACAGTCACCTTCCAGCTGTGATATGATCCTGTCCAGTGTGGCGTGTCACTGTCTGTCCCTCTCGTACAGTGATTTCATTGGCGTCAACCTCAACTTGCAGGTCAGCCTTGACGTGGATGACAATCTGTTTGAAGCCTCCATACACCACTGAATCAAGCTCACCATTCACAGACAGCTCTGATACAGAAGAGAACAAATGCAACTCAACACCATACCAAATGTACAGATCTTTCACTTCAGTGAGAGTACCAGCTCAACAGTGCAAAAAAGTACTCCATCACAAGTAAAAGTCCTTCATTCAAAATCCTACTTAAGTGAAAGTACGGAGGTATTATCAGCAAATTGTACTTGAAGTATCAAAAGTACAAGTACTCTACTGTAACCCAGAGGTACTTAATCAAGAGGTTAGGCCAACAAAATGTTGTGAGAGAACCAATTAATGGGATCAAAAGAAAGAAAAAAATGAAGGCTTGCTATGTAAATTTGCTTTCATTTTTTTTAACTTTTATCCAATTTTTCCTTTTTTGTAAAAAAAAAAAAAAAAAAAGGGAAACTTTTACCTCTGTAGGCCCTGAGTAGTAACATTGCATTTATTTCAATGAAAACATTCAAGAAGTTTAGAGGGGGAATGTCACTGGGTAAGTGACAAGGGGCTTAAACAAGGCTCTAGCCTAGATTACACTACGAGGCCGCTACAAAGTCCCTTTTTCGCTGCCTTTGTGTTTTTACGCAGAACCAAATAAAGTCGGCATTGTCGGCACTTTCTAAACAATAACTGTGGCATAGCATGGCAATGACATTCATTTACCATCCCTGTGATACGGTGGATGATCTTGTCCCGTGTTCGGAGGGTGACCCGCCCTAATCTGCCTTACTCTGCCTCTGATTGGCTTACCCTGGCATTCTTACTGTATCCTTAACCAATCCCACATCTCTTGCCTAAACCTAACCAGTGCAACCAAGAAAAGCAACAAGTACTTGCCAGTCAGAAGCAGAGTAAGGTCATGCCTTTGCTCTTCTAGGAAATGCGAATTTGCTCTCAAAACTTCATTGTTTTCCCAATTTGCATAGATTTTCAGATGCTGTTCCCCTTTGAGTTAGCTGCTAACTGCTTCTAGCTGCTTTTTAAATCTCCTGGTGGTGGGTCACATGCATAAGATGATCCCAAGATCCCAACCTGCTGGCTGTCCTGTTTACACAGACCTCGTTTGGGCGGATGCATTACTACCTCAGCTGTCAGCTTAAAGGCGAGACAACTCTGTCCCCCTGTTCTGTGATTGTACCTTCATATAAAGAATGGTAAGGCGGAATGACGGTGCGAAATTCCTGCCTTTAACAGTCAGTGTGAAAGGAGCTACTGCATTGTGTTTAATACACACATGTTTTAATGTAGTACCTGTATCTGTCAAATAAATGCATTGGAGTAAAATGTGCAATATTTCCACCAGAAATGTAGTGAAGTAGAAGTACAGAACAAAAAATACAAAAGCTCAAGTAAAGTAAAATTACTTCAAAATTGTACTTTAGTACAATACTTGAGTAAATTCATTCACAGTAGTTCATTTCCATTACTGCAAACAGTGGTGTCTGCACATGATATAACTGACACAGGAAGGATGAAAATAGAAAGACTTTTTTTTCTATTACACATGGAGTGCAAAAGGTTTTATTGACAAGGCTATTAAAGGAATTTAAGGAAACTAGTGAAGGCACAAAGAGGAACATTACTGACCTTTGTTGGGATGATGAAATAGTTTGAGGCGAGTGTCTCCAGTGACATCAAAGCACAGTGGAAGCGACATATTCTCAGGTTTTATCAAAAACCTGTGGGAAACAGGAGCTACAGAGGAACACAGAGTCACAGTATAACATGTTTGATGATGATTATCCAGAAATACTGGCTTTTATGTGGTGGTGATTAATATGTATCATGTGAGATTAACAAAGTGAAGGCGCACCTTTGCTTGTGTGACTGACACAAAGAATGACAGACATGTACTGCTATCTTCATAGACTTGCAAGATTTGAAGAACAATTCGGTAACTCAAATTATCTTAGGCCGCAGATATATCTGCTTTTTAACTATGCGTTTACTTAGACAACCAGCTGGGTTGTCAACGGAATTATTATTACATACTTGCCTATGTACTATGCATGTTACGGGAGGATTCCACTAGAGGGCACATCAGGACTTAAGCCCGGCATACACTGTACGATTTTTAAAATCTTATTCTTAATACCAGCTCACACTGTACGAGTGAATCGTCTGCGATGTGCGGCCAAAGCTCATGATTTATGTGCTCACACTGTACGTTCCGATCATCAAGCACGATCAGAGAGCTCACACTGTACAGGTGAAAACGGCTCGTCGGCCCCTGCTGACTGTCCTGCCCGTTGACAGCTGTCAATAAAGATACATTTGAAAGCTCCGATTTGTTCCGGAAGTGCCATTGTTGTCAACGAAGCAGGACAAGTGGTTTGCTATGATGATTTGCGCTATACTGTGTGCTGAAATGTCCAAAAAGAAGAGGCATTGGCGCATATGGACTCACAGATGGCTTGAGAGACGTCGACAGTATGGTTTGTCCATTTTACAACAAGAGTTGGAGGTAAGCCGGCTACAGCCAGGTGCACCCTCTGTGTGTGTGTGTGTGTGTGTGTGTGTGTGTGTGTTGTACCTCGTCTAGCACGCTAGCTTGTATGTTTGTTGCGCTTGCTTGAAAATGAGAGCAGAAAAAACTTACCAGGCAGCTGAAGAATATTGGCTATCTCCTGACAGCGTTTCTCTCGTTGATAGCGGTCGTGGTAGGTGAAAGAAGAAACGTCGAACAGGCACTCATACTGTTGCCACAGCTCAACCAACCTGGTCTCCACATTTACAGTCCACCGACGCATCACCATGGTGATCTATGTCTTCGCGCAGGCGCAGTGAGGGATAAACGCACAGATGTTGGCGAATCAGCTCGTGGCTCTGCTTCAACTGTGCGAATGTCTGTGCTGGCCGACCAAAATTTCATCCCCCCCCCCCCCCCCCCCCCCCCCCCCCCCCCCCCCCCCCCCCCCCGTACACTGCACGGCAAAAGACGCACGACGAAGTGGAAATCCAGCCCGAGCGTCGGCATGTCGTGCGTCTCAAAAATCGGGTCAAATCCGGTAAAAAATCGGACAGTGTATGCTGGGCTTTAGACCGTATAGAACATCCAGATTGGCACAATGTAAACAGTAAACACTCTACAAAGCATACAAGTAAAGTTTTCTTATGCAACAGAAATAGATCCATTACTATACCATGAAATACATCTATGAGATACTTTACCTTCTGTTTCTGGCACAGTGGTGGCAGCCATTAGGAGATCTTCATCAAGCAAAAAAAAATACAAAAAAACAAAAAACTTTTTTTACTGTTTTCTTATACAACAGAAATAGATCCATTTTATAAGAACCATGCCATGAAATACATCTATGAGATACTTTACCATCAACTGGCATATCTGGCACAATCCTGCCGACAAACCCTGTGGACATTTCATAAGACACATCTGTACAGTACATTTAGCCAAAGATACACATTTATATTACACAGCCTTAGATGATATTGTATTAACTGACGGCATGTTCTGACATCTAATGCTTTGTTCACACTACATGATATTTTGTTTGTTCCAACAGTCATTATGTCAGATTACGCGATTGTGGTGTCATAAAATTGTGCTGCAACTTGGCCAACAGACATGAAAAACTATACAATGGTTCACAACCAATCATCCCAGGTCATCCAGATTATCGTGTACGAAACTCATTGTTCATGATCTGAGTTGACACCGTACAACACTGCGTCAGGCTATAATCGGGCTAATGTCGTGTAGTAGGGCTGCACCTAATGATTACTTTCATTGTCGACAAATCTGTCGATTATTTCTTCGATTAGTCGACTAATCATTTTATCGAAAAATGTGTTATAATGTTGAAAAATGTCTGTCTGTCTCTCCCAAACCCCAAAATTATGTCATCTAATGTCTTGTTTCGTACTCACACCAAAGGGTTTTACTTCACCGTCATGGGAGAGTGTGTAAAGCTGCCAATATTTGAACGTAAGAAGCTGCAATAAGAGTATTTTGGGGTACTTTTTTAGTACTTTTCTATGAAAAATGACAAACCAATTAGTTGACTACCAAAATAGTCACTGATTATTTTAATAGTCGATTAGTCATCGATTAGTCGACTAATCGTTGCAGCCCTATCGTGTAGTGTGAACCCAGCATACCCTTAGCTTCAAAACAAACCACTAACTAGACACATTATTCTAATCCTCACCAGATAAGCACAGATTTAATCTGATATTGATTTAAATGCACACAAAATTACAATAAGAATTTTAAATCAAATTGAAACATGTTAAAGTAAAAGTACATCCTTTTCTGTTCTGAGAATTCTGTAAGCTAATGAAGAGGTGAGGGAAACTTTTTGTACTGTTTTCTTATACAACAGAAATCGATCCATTTTATAAGAACTATACCATGAAATACATCCATGAGATACTCTACCATGGCTTGGCGTAGCTCCAATGACCCTGGTAACTTTTACAGGCATTCGATAAGACACACCTGTAAGTACATTTAGCCAGATATACACATTAATATTATATTTATATTAAGCCTTAGATGATATTCTATTAATTGACATAATGTTCTGACATCTAACCTCAGCTTCAAAACAAACCACTGAATACACACATTATTCTAATCCTCACCAGATAACCACAGGCTTAATCTGATATTGATTTAAATGCACACAAAATTACAATCAGAATTTTAAATCAAAATGAATCTTGTTATGTGTTTTTCATGTAGATTTCACCTACAAATTGCCACAATTCATAAATTGTTTCCCACAGGATTTTGGGAGACTATTGGGGGGGGGGGCCGCTTTGTGCTTTTTATGTATGAAAAACACTAGTGGTTTGTTATGGTGAAGGGTTACACTTAAAATAAGGATTAGTGGTTAAACATTTCAGTAATCAAAAGAAAAATGGCTAACGTACTGATCTGCCTCTGGAGGGCCAGTGTTTCCCCTATGTGAAATATGACCGCTGCTGCTGATTTTTTTTTCCGTCTTAGCTCTTTAGAAACTACCGTTATATTATTTGGCACTACGGACGCTTCATATCGAGGCCTATAGAATAGTTCTATACCCTGCCATTTTATAAAACAAACTAAATAGCCTTATGTTATTTATCTTATTTACATGACGGCATGTCATATCTGTCTCTACATGGTTGCACGTTTACAATTCTCCTCTGCTCTCTGTGTCGCGCACGGCGGAGTTTCGCTCCAACACACACAGGTGAGCACACTAGAGCGCGGCTCGGGCCGCATTTTCCTGACCAAACCTGACCCAAGTTCGAGACAATTATAACCGAGCCCAGCCTGAGCCCGTAGCACGGCACTAATTGAGTGGAGCCTGTGTTGTGTTCAGGCGTTGTCACGTAAATAACAAATTCCAGCACTTGAATAGACCATAGCACAACACAGTAGGGCTGTCAAAAGCACCATGAAATTGAGTTCAAATATTTTTGAATTAATTTAGTAGAGTTCGAATAATATTTAAATAATATATTATTATTTATTTATTTATTTTTTTTTACAAAACAAACACAAAAAATAAGATGCTTATTGCTGGCGCAATATGAACGTGACACTCGGATGAAAACACCCATTCTGACCTCACTGAAGTGCCAGGTATGACCAACTTCTGCCTCGCTATCTTAGCAATGTTTGGATACTTCAGTGCGTAGTTTTCCACCACAAGAGTGGATCCTGGTCGGCTCGTAGTGGTGACTCATTCTGGTAACGTTTCATCTCTTCTTCAAAAAGGGTAGGCAGGGAGGCAGCAGGAGCAACACTCTCCCTGTATGTCTCCCCGAACACGTCACACATCGCGGACAGCGCAGTGGGTGGTGTTGGCGCAGCGGGCTCCTCCATCGGCGCCTCTCCCTCCATTGCTGTGTCCCTCTCTGGCCCGGCTTGTGCGCGAGCCATCTCTGCCCGAACGGGATTTGCCGTGATATACAACATTATCAATAGTATTGATTAATTATTAATGATATTCGAATGATCAAATTTAGGTTCGAACTTATAAAAAATATATATATTCAAATATATATAACTTCGATTTTTTTTGACAGCCCTACAACACACCAGCATGTTAAGTGGGCCGAACTCGAGTAAAATTTTTGATTTGTTATCTGCCCCCATCCGTAGTTGAATGCCTCTGAGACAGACCCATTTATGGCAACCCTCAGGCAGGCAGCTAGGTGCTCTCCCTGCAGCCTGTTGCAGAGATAAGTTTTGCCCTGGAATGGAGTAACTACCATAAGCCAAATGAGAAAGAAAAAGTTTTCAGAGCTTAGGAGAGCGACGTCTGTGGTGAGGAGGAGGGAGCCAAAGAATTCTCAGTAGGCTCTCCAGCCGGTGTGCTACAGAGTGGGGGCTGCCATAGTCTCGTCAATGTATGGGAAACACTGTAGTTTACATTTTGACTCATAAAAATATGAAATAGAAGATCTTTCTTTTCCCCAGGAGTATTAGAATATATTCCACCTCTTGGGAATCTTTTGCAAAACACCTTTTGTTGTATTTAACATATTTGGCTCTCCTAAAATTGATTGATTGATTGGTGAAGGTATGTGTGGCCTGAATTCTTTTTATTCAAACATGGGTGGTTGGTACCATAAAAACAAAAACAATAGGATGGATCAGAATTGCAAAAAGAAGTTCACCTGAATCTGGTAACACTGCATCATACAGGAGTAAATCATCGTAGTCGTGAGCTGGTTGTCCTGGAAAATGAACAGTGAGATTGAAGAGTTACACACCCGTTATCATCTAGCATGTACATTCTCTGGAACAAAAATACAACTTTGTTACAAATAGCCTATAGCTACTAATATTTAGAAAACTTGTATTAACTTCAAAAGACTAGGATCACAGAAGCATTCATCAAAGAAAAAAAATTCTTAGATTATGAATTTAAATGTGTAATTGTGTGAAAACTAAAACTATTTAGAAATTACAAGACCCTCATTTTGTCACTGCAGGTAAACTATCCCATATAGTTGAAGACAGTTTCATTGTAATTATGAAAGATTATGTTGCATATTATATATGGGCACTAACCTAAAGAATTATGGCGAGGTTTAATGTTCATTATAATAATGTAATGCTCAGCCTGGTCTCCCTTGCAAAATCATTCAAATCAAATCAATCAGACAAAAGAGCTGGTGGTGGATCTGAGGAGAACGAGGACACCAGTGACCCCAGTTTCCATCCTGGGGCATAACGTGGACATCGTAGAACACTACAAGTATCTGGGTGTGTTCAAAAACAATAAAATGGACTGGACTAAGAACACTGAAGTCCTTTACAAGAAGGGACAGAGCCGCCTCTATTTTCTGAGGAGGCTCCGCTCCTTTAACATCTGCCGGACTATGCTGAGGATGTTTTATGAGTCTGTGGTGGCCAGTGCTATTCTGTTTGCTGTGGTGTGTCTGTTTGTTGTGGGGGTGGAGCTGGACTCTTTGACAGCAGTGTCGGACAGGAGGATGCTGTCGAAGGTGCGGGCGATACTTCAGCATGGCTCTCACCCTCTCCACAACGCTCTGGTTGAACAGAGGAGCACCAGGAAGTGCCACAGGAAGTCATTCTTACCTGTGGCCATTAAACTGTACAACTCCCCTCTCTGATGATCGGACTCATTTGGCTATTTATAAAACAAAACAAACAATATAACTACTCATTCTCATTTCATTTATAATGCTATAACCATTTCATTGTATATATTTCAGATTGTCTACTTTACTATTTTATTATTTATTGTATTGTCTACTTTAATATTTTATTTTATTTTATTTTAATGTCTACTTTAATATTTTATTTTAATGTCTACTTTAATGTTTTATTTTATTTATTTCATAGTCTATTTTAGTATTTTATTTATATCTTCATCTTTATCTCTTGTTTCCATTCATGCTGTATTTCTTTTTCTACTTTGCATGGAGCATTGGAACAAAAACAATTTCCCCCCGGGGATTAATAAAGTATTCTGAATCTGAATCTGAATCTGAATCATTGCTTGGGCAGTGGCCCCCTGGCATCAGACATGGACACACAATACGCCCTTTAGCATCTGTATTAGATGCAGCAGGTTTTCAGCCAGGTCCAATGTAAACCCATCTGTGACATTATAAGGCATTCAGAGCAACGACGTGGTATAAAGAGTGGCACGTGAAAGGGAAGGTGGATGGGTCACAAGACTTTGACCGTGGAGACTGGTGTTTGTATCCCGTGTGAAACAAAAAATGAATGTCAAGTTATTTTAGGGCTGGGTGATAAAACGATCTCAAAACAGGATCACAATAAAATGTATGTCAATGATGACGATAAACTATTGTCATTTTTACTTGATGTGGATAGACCTAGATAGATCCAAACAGCGTGTCATACAGCAGAAGTTAACACACAGCTGTCAATCAAACTTTAGTGTTGGGGATGCGCATCATTGTACACGCCCCTTTTTCAGTGCAACGTTTGTGCCGGGATGAGGAGGAATTGAAAGTAGCATGGACATAATGAAAAAAGGGTGAAATGAGTGGAAGTGAGGAGCAAAGCAGCAGTGAAGCTGAAATAGAGCTCAGGTTAACCCTCAAAAATGGATGAAAAAGGTAACACAACGTCAATAATTTGGAAGTGGTTTGGCTACTGGAAAGGTGACGACACACTGACAAAGATGGTCTGCGTAATATGTCGTCGGTTTGTACTAACCAGGACAAGAAACACAACAAACCTTTTCCATCACCTGAAAAGGTGGCATCCCAGCGACTACGCTGAAAGCATAAAAATTTGGGCCAAAACTGCAGTAAGTCCATCAACAAATGTCGCTCAACGGCCTAGCACCTCTGCTGCTGTGGGCAGCGCTAGCAGGGCTGCACCAAAACAGCAATCAATAGTGTCCTCTTTTGCCGCCTGGCCCTGTATGAGAAGCGATCGAAAAGGAGTAGAGATATAATAGACGCAATGTCATACTTTCTAGCCAACGGCATGATGCCCATAAGCACCGTGGAGAAAGACGGGTTCAAGAAATAAATTAAAATGCTACAATGCAGGTATGAGCTCCCAGGCAGGAAATATTTTTCCCAAACTGCTCTGCCCCAGCTATACGGCGAGTGGCGTGGGAAGCTGGAAAATCATTTGGTTTCTTCAGGTGTCAGACATTATTGGGATACTTTTCAAACTTGCAGCATTATATTGTGATAAATATTGCTATCGATCAATACGGTGACTATTTGCGTGATAATATTTTTTGCCATATCGCCCAGCCTCAAGTTATTTTGTAACATGAATCGTTAGTCACATAAGTCAACTAACGTGACTAACAGCCATGACTTTTTCCTAACCCCAACCAAAGTTGTTTTGTTGCCAAAACCTAATTGCCAACCGCCTATATCAAGGTACAACTCAAAAGGCTGCCCCTGGGTCCATATGATGATACAGGGGGCTCTGCCCACGCAACAAAATATGACGGGTCTAGGTATGAGATCACATCGCAGTGCTAAAAAAACAAGTGGAACACATCCATCCAGTCCAGGTGGGAGGTAATCCCCCATTACGTTCAGGGTTGGCCTTAAGGTCCTCTGATTAGATACCCAAACCACCTGAAGAAGCTCCTTTCAACACAAAAGGAAAGCAGTGAAAAAACTCATTTGTTTGTTCCTAACAAAGGAGCTTTTTTCAGTCTCCTGCTTTCATTCTCTGACAGACTCATATTAGATCAGACTAACCTCTTTGACCCCACTGCAAAGAATAATAGATCATCATTACACTGTATGTCCTTTGTCATGAATGAAGATAAACTCGGGTGTCACTCCAGAAATGTGAACAAATGTCCACTATACAGTAAAATACACACAGTGTGGTGTCGTCATGTCAGAACAGTGCACATGTGGCCCTATTTCATACCCATGGAGACACCAGCACCAAGACCAGCACCATCACCACCGCCACCACCAAAACCAGGTGCTGTTAAAAGAAAAAGAGGATAACATGATATTACAATACAGTCGTTAATTTACTTTGGAATAGTCATAGTCATGTAAATTAGCTTGCAGCCTTTGAAATATGTTTTGGGGACTGACCCCCAGGTCACTACAGTTTGAATCATTTGTACTTGTAAATAAATTGAAAAAACTTGTGTATGTAACTTTTTGATGTGTGTGATTACAATCCTCCAGAAGCATATGTGGAGTGCAAAAGTATATAAAGTACAATATGTTATTAAGTGATCAGTAGTGTATCTATCATGTCAGCATGCTGCAGATGTGTACCTACTGTATATCTGTCTTACCTGCTATTAAATCATGCAAATGTGTATTGACAAACAGACTCAATAAGAGAGATATGTTGAAAAGGAGATGAGGGATACTGTTGATTGTCCATCGTGTTTGTGTTGTTTACGTTTTTGTCCCTTACGAGCAAAAGCGCCGTATATCCCGGGCAAGGCCGCCACAGGAGGGGCCGGTAGCCCTGGTGTTTCACCTTCCTTGGGTTTATGGAGCACGTCTGTGGTCTCCCCCTGAGGCTTGGTGACCACCATGGATGTGAGGGGGGTCACAAAGCTGTACTTCAGCGACAGCTCCAAGGCCTCTTTCTTCACGTTCTCCTTCTCAGGTCCAGATAAAAGCAACCTGTGTCACAAATTGTGCACATGTTTTAAACATGACAACTGACATGACAGTAAAAAAAGACCTTAGCAACCAAGCAAGGTAAAAAAAACTTAAGGCACCTCTGATTCTATCTTAACTACAATATGACCTAGTTTATGGTGCTAAATGAAAAAACTAACACACCCCAAGAAGAGCGAAAATGTCTGTGCTTCTTCTGACAATCATTTTCTGTTTTTTTGTTGAAATTATCCTTAGAGTCCTAGTTAAGGTTTCCTCAAATAAAATTGGTTGCACAAAACACGCTTGAGTCTTCTCCTTAAGGTTTCCTTAAAATGTCGACTTAAGTATTTATGGTTTTCTCCTTGTCTTGGTCTTATACTTAAGGAATCCCTCGACTGTTGCACAAAAGACCTTAGCAACTAAAGCAAGGTAAAAAAAAAAAAAAACTTAAGGCACCTCTGATTCTATCTTAACTTCAACATGACCTAGTTTATGGTGCTAAATGAAAAAACTAACACACCCCAAGAGGAGTGAAAATGATTGTGCTTCTTCCTACAATCATTTTCTGGGTTTTTTTGGTATTTGGGGATCAAATTTACTTTGTAGTTTGTGCTTTCTATGATTGTATTCCTCCAGAAGTTTAATCTTTTCCTCCTCTGAACAATATGGTTTCCTTGTCTTCTTTTCCTCTGCCATTTTTTCACCAACTATAAGCCAACTTTGTGAGATGATAACAGGCACCACAAGCGTGAGTCCGAGCAAACAAACAATCTCCATGGAAACTTTTAGCACTGTAAAATCTCTTTCAACACAGTTAATTCATTTTTCTTTAAGTAAGGAGACATTTTAAGGGATTCTGTGCAACTCTGTAAGTTGCTCAGCTAAAGAGAGGTTAAGCCTCAAGTGTTTTGTGCAGCCAGTCCCTGGCTTGTAACGGCAGAGTGTGTGCTAATGTTTTCTTTGTTAGGCATCAAAAATGAGGCAACATTTTGTACCGTGGTGGACGCAGCCAAAATAATGCTGTGTTTAACCTGCTTACAGGACTTTATCCATGTTAACACATATATTTAGAGTTGCTCTTTTTCTATATTGAGGAAGAGAGGCGTTAGAATGTGCTCTGGAAATAGCTTTTTCACATTTCTAATTGGCCGACATCTCCTTCCTCTGTGCCTAGTTTTAGGGTTAAGGTTATGCACTGGCAAGTGCTTTTGCGTTTTCGTTTGGATGAAATTTTTTTCATAACAGTGTATGCGGATTGAATTTTTTTTAAAACATAGGAGGGAATCTGCCACTGCTACCAATATAAACTGCATGTGTGCACTGCAATACTTGAAACGTGAACGGTATAACAACAGTAACTAAGAGGTTGGAGCAAATTTCTAAACTTAGGAAGAGCAAAAAGCTAAATTCTCACCCCAAACCTAACTTTACAAAGGAGTTCTAGAAAGCATCCTGACTGATAGTAACATAGCAAACTGCCGTGAGATGTGCACGGTCCAGTACAGGAGGGCTCTGCATTGGTGATTAAAATTGACTAGAACCATACTGAGCATTATTATTGGTGAGATAACGTGCCTGTGCAGAGCCCAAAGGATACTAAGAGACAATACCCACACCAGCCTGTTCACTGCTTTTTTCTGCCAAGTGATACAGAAGACACCTAACTCTGCCGCATCCTTCGCTAAAATGACCCTGTCATAAACCTCAGCTCTACATATCACTCATGTTTCAAATTTATATATGTGTATATATACATATATATA